TAAAATACCACTACTCTGCCACCTCCTCAAATTTCTACCTGCCCTGTCAAAAATGTCACTGGCTCCACACTGTCCCAGATCAAATGCAAACTCCTTAGCTTAGCAACTCAGACTTCGCACTCCCTCACTCTGCTCTACTCTGCAATCCTCAGACTCACAAGGCTAACCCGGCCCCTGACCTTGGCTTTTGTGGAGTGGACTCTCACTGTGCCCCACCTCGTCCCCTGCCTGGGCAAGGTCTGCCCAAGCTTCAGGCCCAGCACTCAAGCTGGCTGGGGATGGGTGGGTGGCAATCCCTGGAGGAGGCGGAATGCTAACCTCGCCTACATGCACACAGCCCTTCACAAGCCCCTTCCATTAGTGCTTCCTTCGGGCAGCCGCACTTCACTTTTCACACTCATCTTCCCTCCCACCCCCCGAACCCCTGAATTAGAGGCTAGGGATTATATCTTCTACTCGTGTCCCTTACACTAGAGGACTCAGAATAAGACAAGTAATAACCGCTGCTAATACCATGTGCCAGGCTGGATTAAGAACATTAAAGTTTTCAATTTCCTTTTCCCAGTATCCCTATAAAATGATATCCTCACACTGCAGTTCAAGAAACCGAGGTTAAGGGAGATGGGATCTTCTGTGCCAGACAGGACTCAGTTCACAGATGCCCTCCTCCAAAGCCCATGTCCTGTATCACAGGCAAGAGAAAAGGCAGACCCCTCTCAGCTTTATCCTCACCCACTCGGGGTTCATGAGGCACTTAATAATGACAGGTAGCCAGTGCAAGGTGCGGCAGACAGGGCCCCTCCTCTCACACAGCTCATCTGCTCTGCCCCAGTCTTGCTCTTCTTTTTCCAAGACTGGAAGAGGGCAAGGATCCTCTGCTTAAAAGAGGCCCCATTTGCACAGACACAGCACCGGACTGAGAAGAGCGCATGCTGGCTCAAGGAATACTATCTTTTGTGGATGCAAAGTCTTAAGCTCAACTAATGAAGATCTCTGTTCAAAGCCCAGCCCAGCCCAAAGTTAAGCACACTTCAAAGCAGCCTTCAGCTGGCAGTAAGGAGTGCAGGCAAGGGGCCAGGGTCTAGAGTCGAAAAACCCAATTCCTCCATTAGCTACAGGGGGATTAACCACATACTCCTTTGCACCTTATCTGCCACCATGATGATAAGTTACTCTCTACACAATTATGGGCACTAGATAAAGTCAAATCATTTGACATGCTATCTCATTTAATCCTCCTCATAAGGAGGTACTCCAAGTATAACTTCTTATACTATGCTGCCTCCCACCTAAGGCTGAGCCTTCCTCACTGGCTGCTCGTGGAAGCTGTGAGGGTGCACAGCCTTGTCTATCCTGCTCATGGCTGGCACATGATCCAGGGGGCCAAAGCATCCAGCACAGTGACATGACCAACCCCAAGCAATGGAAGCTGGGAGGGCACACACGCTTCTCTGTCTTGCTCATCGCTGAGTCCATGGTACATAAGCAGCAGAATAGCCAATGTGAAGTCTCCACCTCCTCACATGGAAATATTAACCTGTAAAAGCCTAAGTCTGGGAATGGCATTGCTTTAGCTGGTTCCAACACAGATGCTCCTACAGTGCCATCCTTCAGGTTTCCCCACCCCACCCTTACTGGACGAACCTGCAGCAAGGGGAATGGAATAAGATCCTGTACTGTAGGCCCTACCTCTCACAGTCCTGCACAGTAATCAAGTTGCCCCAGAGATGAATCCCACGCCTGCCATTCACACTGGTCACCCAAACCCTGGAGCTTCAGGTTCCTTGTTAAGTTAAACAGGGACTGAGTTATAACCTGAATCACGGTTCAGGATCACAGCAGATCCTCAGTCAATGGCTGACACCATGCTGGAAGGGCGGGACTTCTGCAGCACTACGAGATTGCACATCTGGTGAGAGAGTATGTGAGATGTGCAGAAGAACCAATTGCAAGCATCTGCAATTCACTTTCACTGCAATGGGAGGCCCAAGAGCAGGCACACCCCAAAATGCCTGGGACTGGAGCCTGGCACAAGCCCCAACCTTATCTTGTTTCCTGTCATAGCTCATGCTCATGTGCTTGCAGTTACACGAAACAGGGCTTTTCCTCCTTAAACTTTACGTAAGAGTGACAGTGATCAACCCCCCAACGTGGAAGCTGTGAGGGTGCATAGCCTTGTCTATCCTGCTCATAGCTGGCACATAGCAGCAGAGTAGCCACCTCACACATACATACTTCAGGCCCCGCCACACCGCCGCACCTCTGTATCTGCCAACAGTAAAATCTCCCAGCCTGACAAGCAGGATTCAGGATGGTCAGGTACCTGCCCTGCTACCATATCCCTGTGCCATCAGTTATCTGTCCCCCCCTCCCCCACAGAATGTAAAAATATAGGACTTCTCTATAAATAGGGAGATCTGCTTCAAAAGCATGGCTTATCATCTTCTTATTCTCAAACTATTGATCCTTGGCTACTTTCAGAAGCATTTCACCAAAAAGTGGCCAGCTTTAACAGGACTGTCTAAATACAACTATGTATCTTATCCACACCAGAAGACCACCAAGACAAGTATCAACTCTATTGTTTTACCTTGTAATAATATGAGGGGCTTCTCCTATCAGGTCCTGTTAGGCAAAACCACCTCTGGGTTGGCATGACAATTCCAGAGTGGCCCCCTCCAGCCCTACCATCAAGTACAGAATTATAGCTCTCAGAATAATCCCTAAATTAGAAGCTACAGTTGTGTTAGGAAAAGTGCTTTGAAACTGCAAAGCACTTAGGGACAGTGGTAAGATTATTACCTATTAAGGTAATGAAAATAAATTTCATTTGCCTATACATTCTTAACAAGGAAGGTGAAACTGATGCCAACAAAAATCATGGAATTCACCCCCAAATCAAATGCATTTTAGATTCTTAAACCCACATTTTCCTCAATGGAAAACTGAGATCTGTTTTTTCTAACATCAGGACTACTGAAAAGCTGGGCCTTGGTGTCTCTTGCCTATAATCCCAGCTACTCAGGAGGCTGAGGAAGAAGGATTGCAGCAAGTTCAAGGCCAGCCTGAACAACTTAGCCAGCCATCTCAAAATGAAGAAAAAAAAAATTAAGGACTAGGAATGTAGCTCAACAGCAAAGCTGTTGCCTAACATGCAAGTGACCCCTTGATTCAATCCCCACCAGTGAAGGGGGGGCGGGCAGGACCATGTTGGTCTAATTCATTTGCCTCTGATGCAGACCCACACTACCACTTCCGTCCTGTCCCAAGTATCTATACTGATTTATCAGTTTATACAAATAGGGAATAAATTTAAAAATAAGCAGTCAGAAACTATTTGTGAGCCTACAGGACACCAAGAACACATTATTGAAAGACATGAATATGAAATCCAAGTGACTTAAGTTCACAAACATGAACACAGACATTTCCAAGTCTTTCTTTTCTTTTGAGATGGGGCTTTGCATTTTGTTATGCTGCCCAGGTTGGCTTTGAACTAGTGATCCTCCTGCCTCAGCCTCCCAAGTAGCAGAATTAGCTGGGATTACAGACACAGGCCAATGCACCCAGCTTTCCAAAACATTTCTCTCACTGCCAGATGCTGTTCTGGCCCACAGGGAGGGATACAGCCATGGAAAACACAAGACAAAAATCCTGGCCCCCAAGCAGCTCAGGTTTTGGCCCACACTAAATTTCCTGAATGACCACATGACTTCTCTATTAAATAAGACTTTCTATGTAAAGAATCTAGCACATAATCCAAAGACCATAAATGCTGCTCCTCCCCTGCCACATTTGAGCATCCCATTATTATGTTTCTAAACAATATTTCGTTATATCTTTGGGCATATAAGCAGCTTGGTACAATGGGAAAAACACAGCTTAGAACTGGCCAGATGTTATTCCACTGACATAGCAATGCCCTGAATGTGACTCCTCCTCCTGAGCCTCAGCTTCTTCACCTGTAAAATGGGGACAGCATATACCCAAATCTGGATTAAATAAGCTCACTCAGGTGTGTGGCACAAGGTAGGCCTTCTCCTCCACCTCTTCCAGTCTTTTCAGATTATCAGATGAGAGCCAAGGCCAGGACTCTTTGTCATATGCTCCTCCTGGGTCATTACTGGCACTTTCCATCACACTCAGAGAACTGCCCCTCCCTATCTGATCTACCGCCCTGAGCACCCCATCTGGCCACTCCACCCATCCTCCCTTGATTTGCCCTGAGAGCACATTTAGAAAACTTCAGTTAAAGTCCTCACCCAAAACTATACCGGACAAATCCTTCTTGGTCAAGCTGGGAGCCAGGCCCACCCCCCCACAGGCCAGGTTTCAGCCTGTAGCAATAGTATTAAAAATGACAACGCCTCTGTTTTTAATCAATATACAGGAAAGCATCAAGAAAAAACTAAGTCAGTCTGAATTAGTCACCCTAGTTCTACAGCAACATCCTTTGATTAAACAAGGAACTGAGATCCTCAAAACCATTTGGGGCCCAAAGTTCACATGCAAATAACTGCCTGCACTGGACAGGAGGCACCAGCACAGGACCCTGATGCAGGAGGTGGATGGCCTTAGCTCTGACAGTTCCTTCTTCAAAGCTTCCTTGACCACATGAGGCAGAAGCCCTCTGACCCTCCAACCTGGGTCTCCCCTACAGACGGTTCCACAGTTGGTTAAGTGGCAGGCCTACCTGTGGGGGCCTATGTGAAGCCTGCTGCCTAGAGCCCACATCGCCTGCCTTCATTACCAAAACAAACACCACGAGTGAAGCTAGATCTCTGCTTCAAGTTTTGCTCACCTGATCCGAAGCACCTCCATAATCAGCAGTTCCAACCCTTACAAGCTGACAGTTTAGGGGGAAAGGAAGGCTGCGCCTGCTAGGGTGCATTGTGTCCAGGCCATATGTTGAGCTCTGAGCCCGGTGGCTCCCCCAGGGCTGCGGCCTCACAAGGGGGATTGTGCGTTCATCCCAATCCGGTGGGCTCTCCAACCCTCACCCTTCTGCTCCCACTTGGGCTGGGGCGCGCTCTAGCATCTCACTGAATCGCGGCCGCGGGAAGGGCCCGGCGCTGCCTTCCGGGCACACAGACGTCCATCCTTCCCTCCCTGGCTCGCTCACCAGAAGAGGCAACCCTGGAGCCCAAAAAGGGATGGCACCCCCACCCCGACCGGGGTGTTCACTCCCGTCTCCCCGGCTTCCAAGAGGTTGCTGAGAAGGGGCACTGGAAGTGAAGGGGAGGGGACACCTGGGTCGGGGGCAGTCCCTGATGGAAAGGTAAGGCCGGGGACAGAGGGGGGGCTGACGCAGGCTACGTTGAGAGTGGTGAGAAGTCCGGGAAACCTGATCGAAGGGGTCCTGTGGGCAGGGAGGCCCAAGAGGGGGCCACAGCAGAGGAGGAGAGGTCCACACTGAAGACCAAGGAGGAAAAAGAAGAATTATGCCCGAGAAGAGAAACAAATCTAGGTTCAGGTCACTTGAAGAAGGGCTGTCGCGGGTACGGACTGAGGCCACGGAGAAGGGAAGGAGTGTGCGGGGAGGGGGGCCTAGTCTGGGCCAAGGCAGGGAGAAGCGACGGACTGGCGTGGACCGCAGGGGCCCTGGTGGAGGGCCCAGCCTGGGCCAGGGGAAGAAGAAGGGGGACTATGGCTGGGTCACTGGAGGGGGTCCCTGGCCTGGCCCATGGGGAAAGGAGGTCCAGCCTGGGCTCTGGGGGAGACTCTCCTGGACTTGCAGGGGGAGAGTAGGACTCCAGGTGGAACCTAGGGCGGGGGCGGCAAAGTCACCGGCCACCCAGGCGCCCCGCGGCCCCTCCCGGGCCGGAGGGATGGTGTGCACCCAGGGCCCGGGACCCCGCCCCTCCCCCACCCCGGGAACCCACCCTCCGGAGCCGGGGTTCGGCGGAGCAGGGGG